CGCGGGACGATGTCGGGAACGGCTTCGTCCCAGAACTCCAGGACTGTGGTGTAGGCGACCCAGGAGATGGGCACGAGAGTGGTGATCCCCGCCGCTCCGAACGCTGCTCCTCCAGCCAGCAGCAGCTGTTTCTTGGCATTGGGTTTTCCTTCACACGTCTTCCAGCAGTCCAAGCCCACGCTGGCAAAGAGGAGAGCCAGGAGCCCCAGCCCGTTGGAGAGGCACATCAGGACGCGGGACACGCGCAGCTCCAGCGGCAAGGCGAGGAAGGAGTCGTGGGCTTTGCACTCCGTGGCCCCCTCCTCCTGCATGATGCACACCTGCCACAGCCCCATGGTCCAGATCTCCAGTTCATTCAAATCCAGGTTGAGGTTCTTCCAGAGGGGCACGAAGGTGGTGACGCAGGACGAGACCCACCCGAAAAGCGCCAGCAGCATCGCGCCCACCTGGACCCTTGCGTTGCAGCTCCACGCCATGCTCACACGGCTCCTGCGAGCTGTGTGCCGGCTCCGCTGCTGGGGCTGAGATAAGCTGAGGTGAGCAGAAGGCTTTTGGCATTAACACTTTTGGAGCTGCGTATTTGTGGTGTGGATTTCCATGAACGCACCGTTTCAGTTGGCGGTCACGGTCAGAGCGCTGCTGTTTGTTCAGAGGAGTTGTGTGTGGGGAAAGTCAGGCTTATACCTCTAATTCCTGGGTGTGGCCTCGATCATTTTCATGTCCTGTTGGTTTTGCTGCGATAGAAGAAGGCACCGCTGGCTAGGCAGGAAAAACTGGGTGCAACGGAGAGCAAGGCTGCTCTGAAAGCCATCGTCGGCCTCGCGCTCTGCTCCTTCTCCTCCACTTCTCCATTGAGTGCAGTGCTTTAGCACGGCCCTGCTCCGTGTGTGTCACCAACCACCCCATCCCTGCAAACTGGGGGATGTTCTGGGCTGGCTCCTGGGAGAGGACGTGTCCATGACACAAAGGGTTTTGTCCCCGTGTGCAGGCAGCATTGCTTCAAGGCAAATGCATCTCATGGGCTGTAGCGGGTGCTGCCTCTCCCGTGCTGTGCACAGGAGGGTTAAGCAAGAAGCACGCAAATCCCCTGAGCCCCAGGAACCCTGAGGAGAGAGTTGGCAAGAACAGCTGCAGGTTTGGCAGGGGAGAGAGGGGCTGTGGGCAGAGCATGTGGTGCCTGGGTTCTTCCCAGGGGGATTTAAGGCCCCAACCCTCTTTCAGCCCTTAAATAAACACCGTGAGAGGTGCTGCCAGCTGTCCCTGAGGCTCCCATGGAGGAGCAGCGGCCCACAGACTGCTCTGTGTGCTGGGTCCCTGCTCCAGGAGGCAGAGATCCTGGAAAGTTTCCGTGTTGCAATGGGGCTGGACTTTATACCCTCCTCCTCATCCTCAAAAGTGCTTTGCAAACATTTGCGCCTGGAGCAGCCGCTCCCAGGGGTTATCCAGGGGAGATGGGATGGAGGCAGAGCTGGGATGTCACTTGGGGAACAGCGTTGCTGCAAGAAAATATGCTGCTGTAAAAAAGATAGGGGAAAAAGGAGAGGAGGAAAGCTGTAACCTTCTGATGACACTCACTTCCCATCTGTTCCTGCCCAGCCACATGCATGAACCCCAGGTCCAGCTTTTTAGATTCATCTTCATGGGGGGATTAGCAACTAATCTCTCGCTCATCTGCTTGCTTTGTTACTAAGAAGGATATGAGGGGGCAAGGCCAGGAAATTGCTGCTGCTTCCTTAGCACAGTGGTGGTCACAAGGAGGACCTCCGTGTCCCCAGCACCGCTTCATTGCCGCTTTCCTGGCACGCAATGATTGGAGGCCTTTAAAAAAGGTGTGAGGACAGCAGCACCTATTTGCTCTAGGGATGGGGAGCCTGATCCCTTGGGTACACATCCTGCTGCCATCTCTCAGCGCCGGCTGAGGGCTTCTCTGCTGCATCCTCCCATCAGAGCCCTACAGCTGGGCACGGTCGCCGCTTTCTGCCCTTTGTGGGAAACTCGGATGTCTGGGAACTGCCTGCCCTGAGCACGGTCCCGTGGTCCCACCGGTTCCAGGCTGCCCCCAGGCACTGTCTGTGGCCGCTGTTTGCACTGCTGCAGTCCTGCTGGGGACAGCTGTGTCACCTGCAAGAGGAGCAGGTTGAGCCGAGCGCTGCAGTCACGAGTGCAGCTGGTGGAGTTGCGTCGTGCCGTGTTGGTCACTCCACGTCAGGCTGGACCTGAGCACTATTTATAATCTTGGTGTTGCCTTTTGCTATCTTTAGCCTTCGTGCTGTAGGGATCCGGCTTTAAATATAGCACAGAGCGTGGCCCTGAGATGTGCTGACTGGGTTCTGCAGGACAAGGTGCGCTGGGCACTGAGTTAATGGCTCACGCACACGGAGGAAACCACACAGATGTAGAGAATGGCCTGAAGCCTTTGCTGATGACCCCATCCCCAAAACTAGGGGGAATGGTGTGGGTGAGGGCTGGGATCCTCCAGCAGGGGATGCCCTCGCCAAGCCTCCGCAGCGCGTCTGCCCCCAGCCCTTCCAATTAAACCATCTTGAGGTAATGCTGCCCGTCATTGAGGGGGATTAGCGAGTGACCTTCTTCTCCTGGAGCAGGATTGGAGGACGTGCCAAGCTCGCCTTCCTTCTCCTAAGCTCTGCAGCACAGCCAGGAAGGGATTTCCCCCCCAGAACTGATGGGAAGATGCCCAGGGGCAGACAGGTTGGTGTCCAGGAGCAGCTGTAGGGGCAGGCAGAGGCCGAGGGGCTGTGTCTGGAGATGCGGTAGGTACTGCAAGCGCGGGGGTTCATGGCCAGGGGAAGATGGGCAGGGATGGGGCAGGAGCACAGTGCTGGGGGTATCCGTGAGGCCAACTGCTCTGTGCTGGCTGCTGGGCATCACCAAGTGTTTGGGAGCCGCGCTGTGGGATGGGGCAGCAGCCATGGGACCATGAGACACATCCCTGCAGGAGCAGGACAGCAGCAGTGCAAGGCGGGGGGGCTCAGTGACAGGCAGAGCGGTGCTGCAGTACTGCTCTCATCCTCATTCTGAAGGTGAGAGCTCCATGCACGGGCATCTCTACTAGTGCCATGTTTGTAGGACACTGGACACTGGGTGCAGGCATCCAGAATTCACACCCATGAGTCTCACACAGTGTTACAGGAACTACACACAGTTTGGGAAAACTAAATATAAGCAATTGGCAGGAGCTGTTGCTATAGCATATCAAGGGAAATCATGGGATCGTTTAAGCTGGAAGGAACCTTGAGACATTATCTAGTCTAACTCCAAATTATCTTAAAATTCAGGGATTCAGAATTTTCAGAACTTCCTGACTTTACAAAGAGTCTCACCACTGATCTGCTGCTGCTCTGCCTACAGGAGCTGAGTCCTCCAAACCTGTGTGCTCTCCTGCAGCTTTTGCACTTGCTGCTGCTTCCCCAGCCCCGCACCCGGGGTGTACAGATGTCGCTCTGCGCTGCCAGAGGAAAGGAATAATTACAGCAGATAATTATTTCTGAGATAACACGCTTCCCCCAGGGCTCATTAGCCCAATCCTCACAGCCTGGTCCGGGCAATGCAGACACAGCACAGTGCTCAGCGCTGTGCTGAGCAGGGATTGCTTTCCACCTTCCCTCTCCTTTATTCATTTTTCCTGCAGGTTGCAGCTGGGATGGGTTGTTTGTGTGGGTTTTTTTTTGCAGGATGCTCCCATGCAGAGGCTTGGGGCTGCCCGGAGCGTGCGTGCTACCCTGCAGCAGGGTCGCTCCGTGGCAGAATTTGTCTGTTTGTAACTTCTCTATCCAGCTGCCCCAAGAGCCGAGCCTGTGGGCCCCAGCGCTGCTCGACAGACGGACGGAGCGCCCGCGCCAGGACCGAGCGGCCAGGGCAGAGGATGCTGGATGAGGCAGCGGGGCCCCTCGCCTTGTCCCTGGGGGGACCAGCGCCTGGAGCCGTGCTGGGGCCGGTCCTGCTGTGAGGCTGCAGCCCGCTGACGGGGAGGAGGCTCGGCCAGCCAGGTACCCCCACACCGTGTGCCCCACAGGGCTGGATCCTGTGCCTGGCAGGGCTTCCCCATTCCGAGTTACGTTTCTGGGTGGTGTTAAAGCTGTTTTCCAGAGAACAAGCTGCAGGTAGTGACCGTCGGAGGCTGTGCCTGCTTCACGCAGTTTGAGGGCTGCACAAGTGGGCTGAAAGGGAGGAAGCCATCCCCAGGTGGTGCAATGCAATTAGGGCAAGTAATTGGCTTAACCATCTGGTGCTTCCTGCCCAGCTCAGCTCCATCACCTGACTGAGATACGGCACGATAGGGTGGCCCTCAGCACCCGCCCCAGAGAGTTTGGGTGCTTTGGGTACCAGCTGCAATGGATGCACAGTGGGAGGGGCCACGCTGCCGGCTCTTGGATGGCTGCAGGGTCAGCATTCCCCCTGCTCTGTGTCACAGCCCCATGCCCAGAGCAGCACTGTGCCGAAGCTGCTGCAGAAATGCAACTAACGGGATTATGGTTTAGGTGGGACTCAGATTAATAACCCACTTCCTCCAAGAGATCCCCAGGGCCCTCGCAGTTGGGATTCTCCCCCAGGTCTGCCTGCTGCACGTTGCCTCTCTTTGCAGTGCTCCCGCACTCAGCACGTCCTGTCCCAGTGCATGCATAGGGGTGGCACTGTGCTACACTCCTAGCAGCAGCTGCAGCTGCGCTGAGGGCTGCAGAGATGCTCCCCAGCCCATGACACCCCAGTGCAGGTGCACCATATGCGGGTTGCAGCTGGGATGGGCTCCAGCCTTGTCTCCGGCTCTGCTCAGGGCTGCTGTTTGCATTTTGAAGTAGCTCTTTGGGTCACATTCAACTTCCCTTTCAATGAAAACCCGTATTAAAATAAACATCGACTCTTCAAGTGTGTGGGAGATGATGGCCAGGCAATGTGCTGGGGCTGTCTTGACATCAGCAGTACAGGTGAAGGCTTTGGGTCTGTTTCTCACCCACGGACTACTTTCCAAAGCACTCAGGCTCAAAGGGGGCTTCTGTTAGTGATGGTTTTGTGTCATCCTGAGGAGCCCCAAGGCTGTGGGATTTTCACAGTGCTCTCACTGTGACCGCATCCCAGTGCAGGAAAGGGGCACGGAGCAAGCAGGGCTGAGGCACCCCAGTGGGGAGCACTGCTTCCCTCCTTGCTTGCTCACAGCCCCACGACAGTGTGGGTGCCCAACCTTTCCCTCACATGAACATCCTTCACCTGCCACAGCCCCAAGGAGCTGTGAGCAGGACCAGGCAATACCCCCCCCCCAGTATCCCAACCCTGCACTGCCCACACACCCCACAGCTCCACCTGACAACCCCGCTCTGTTCCCACAGCATCCTGCACTATGGCCGCGGTGCTTCCAGCCGGCAGCAGCACGGAGCCTCAGCACAGCCTCTGCACCCACAACAGCGTGGGCAGCACCTGGCTTCCACGCGAGGAGCCCTGGGGTCGCAGGAACTCCATCCCACCCGCGCAGGCGCCCACCGCCAGGCACATGCTGGCCTACCTGCCACGGCCACCCACCGACACCAGCCGCTATGGCACCTTCCCACAGAAGGTAGGGCCACACGGCCTCGCCGTGCTGCGTGACGGCGCGGAGCACGAGGAGGGTGGTTTAATGCTGACTGGAGCCTTTCCCTTTACAGCCCGAAGTCCCAGCTGCCCCCGTGCTTCTCGCAGATGCTGCTGCTGAGAGAAGTGCCCTGGTTCCAAACGACCTCTTTTCACCTTGTGGCACCGATGTTCCTAGCGACCCAGCTCCCATGCAGAGCTGTGTAGACTCGGAAGCCGTGGGATCCACCAGGCGCTGGCCCAGTGTCTCCATTACCACCAGCGATGTGCCCAAGCACCGCCGGGCCTCACGCCAAGACCACCCGCCTGTGCTGCGTGACGGCGCCTCTCGCTGGTACCCGCGGCACAACCGCAGCGTGCCCAGCATCCTCAGCCCCACACAGAGCAGGACGCCCAACCGCAGCATCGTCTCCATCCCTGCCTCTGAGAGGTTGCAGAGCAGGCGTTGCAAGCTGATAGAGGACGAGCGGCCGCTGGGTCTGGCCGGCAAGCAGCGGCGCCAGCGCTACGTCACCAAAGTGGGCAAGTGCCAAGTGAACCTGGGCAACATCCAGGAGAAGAAGAGGTTTCTCTCGGACATTTTCACCACTATTGTGGACCTCAAGTATCGCTGGTTTCTCTTTGTTTTCATGATGTGCTATATTGTCACCTGGCTTGTCTTCGGCACCATCTATTTCTTTGATGCGTGGATAAGGGATGACGTCAACCACATCGGGGACCCAGAGTGGAAGGCGTGCATCGAGAACGTGGACAATTTCATATCTGCCTTACTCTTCTCTGTGGAAAGTCAGAGGACCATTGGCTACGGCTCCAGGATCGTGACAGCCAACTGCGCTGAGGGCGTCATCCTGCTGATGGCGCAGTCCATCATCGGGTCCATGATTGATGCCCTTATGGTGGGGTGCATGTTTGTCAAGATCTCCAGGCCCAAGAAGCGTGCCCAGACCTTAATCTTCAGCAAAAATTGTGTCATCTCCCACAGGGACGAGAAACTCTGTCTGATGTTCCGCATCGGGGACCTCCGGGAGAGCCACATGGTGGATGCAAAAATAAGAGCCAAGCTGATCAAATCCCGACAGACCAAAGAAGGGGAATTCATCCCCTTGGAGCAGTCGGAGCTGAACTTAGGCTACGATACAGGGGAGGACAGGTTGTTCCTGGTGGAGCCCCAGATCATCTGCCACGTCATCAACCAGCACAGCCCCTTCTGGGACCTGTCGGCAGAGTCACTGAAGAGGGAGCAGTTTGAGATCATCATCATCCTCGAGGGCATTGTGGAAGCTACGGGTGAGTGAGGAGGGGTCGGGGTGGCTCTGTCGCAGCCCTGTGGGGGGCCAGGCCCGGTGCTGCTGAAGCCATGCTGTGGGCAGGGGTCAGGCAGAGCCGGGCGCGAGGGACAGGGAGCGGGGTCTGCGGGTGGCCACCTGTGTTAGCATGGTGCAAAGCCCACCGCCGCCTCTCGCCATGTCCCCGCCGCAGGGATGACGTGCCAGGCCCGCACCTCCTACACCGAGGACGAGATCCTGTGGGGGTACCGCTTCGAACCCTGCATGTCCCTGGAGAAAGGCGCCTTCCGCGTGGACTACAGCCGCTTCGAGCTGACCTTCGAGGTGCAGACCCCAGCAGTGAGCGCCAGGGAGATGCAGGAGATGGCAGAGCTGGAGCGCCAGGACCGCTCCACACCCAGCCTGTGCTGGGAGCTGCTGCCGCAGCCCTGCGGGTCCTGAGCGGGTGGACATCGAGGCTCAGTGCGACCGCAGAGCTTTGGTTTTGTATCACGGGGCAAAGAACCCCTCAGCAGAACATTAAAACCTGTTCATGATGATGGTGATGTCAGTGTCTGGTGGTGGCTTGAACAGACCGGGCTGTGCCCAGGGCTGCTCCCAGAGCTCTTCCCTTTCTGAGCCCTCAGCCAAGGCAGTGCTACTGAGCCAGTGGTACTGGGACAATGGCACCAGGACGAGGCCTCACGGGATGGGGCTGGGGGAAAGTTGCAATGCATACATATAGAATCATAAAGGTCGTAAAAGGTCTCTGAGATCCCCGAGTCCAACCGCAGCCCATCCCCACTGTGCCACCAAACCACAGCCCCAAGCACTGCATCCCCACGATTCTGGAACATCCCAAGGGACAGTGATGCCGATGCAAGACATCCATAAATCAATATCAGGCCTGACGGCTTGTGCATAAATGTGCGAATTCCAACATTAGCTAATTCATTAGCTAATTAATGCATGCGGGTTGCACCGGTGCGTTTTTGTTTACATGCCGAAGCCCTCCTAGACGCCAGGGGGCGCTAAAGCACCGCGCGACTCTTTAATCCCTCCCGCCCAACTTCCGGCTCTCGATGATGACGTCAGTAGAGTGCGACGCGGTGACGCCCGCTGTCTGGCTGAGCAGGGGGTGAGCGCGGCGGCCCCGGGCCTGGCCGGTGCGGTTCCGTTCGGTTCGTCGCCGTCACAGCAGGTCGGCCCGGCCCGGCCCGCATGGCGCGGCGCTGAGTGGAGATGACCGATCAGGAGAACAACAACAGCATCTCCGGCAACCCCTTCGCCGCGCTCTTCAGCTCCCTCGCCGACGCCAAGCAGTTCGCCGCCGGTCAGAAGCAGCAGCTGCGGCAGCTGGCAGGTCAGGGCCGGGCCGTGGGGCTGGGCGAGGCCGTCTGCTGCTGGGCCGAGGCGGGGGAGCGGGCGGGGGGCTGCCGGCTGGTGCCGTGTGTTCCTGCGAAGCCTTTCCCCGGCTCAGAGTGCTGAGGAAGAAGCTCAGGAGCTTTATTTTGCAGGAGAGGAAACTTCAGCCAGCCAGGATGACTCTGACAACAGCGTGTCCGAGAGCCTCGATGACTGTGATTACTCTGTGGCCGAGATCAGCCGCTCCTTCCGCTCCCAGAGGGAGCTGTGCGAGCAGCTCAACATCAATCACATGATCCAAAGGATTTTTCTCATCACTCTGGATAACAGTGAGTGCTCGTGCTGTTGTTGATGTGGCTTGCCTTGTGAAGGCTTGCTTTGGGCCTCAGGGGGATGGGATGCTGGTGTTCTCTGGGTGAACAGTAGGAGACATGGCCCCTCCTCAGACGGCAAGCTCTGCTCTGGTTCTTATGCTGGTGTAAAACAGGCTGGGAGGAATGCGAGGTGGAAAAGGTCTGTGTCCTCAAAGCGTGCAGCTGGTTCCTATCTGATGTTCCCAGAACCTTGAACAGAGCTTATGTGTTTGCTTTTCACCTGTGAGGGTTAGAGAAAACAATGTTGTGCAACTGCTGTGAAAGACTGTTTCTGCCTCTATCATTGAAAACAATCCTGGCAGTTAACAGCTCTGAGTGTCGTCCTCTGCATGCAGCAAATGGAAGCATCACTTAGCATGTCTCGGAACTGGCACCAGCGTGGCACCTCTGGCACCAGTGTGCTGAGGAGCTCGTGCTGCTCCTGCTAAGCGGGGCCACATGGGACAAGGGTGTGAACAGAGAAACTCCCCGAGAGCTTGGGGTCTTGTACCACCCCTTCCCCTCCTCTTTATCTAGTGAGGATGTATCAAGCTGTAGCCCAATATGTAGTATGAATAGTATGAATACCCCGAAACCATCTTATACAAGTGATATCAGTGTAAGAGTGCAGCTTCTAATGGTGTGGGTTCTGTGCTTGCAGAAAAATGCCTTGCTGAATTCCCTAATGAAATGTGTTTTAAACAGGAGCTTGTCAGATCTGTGTGAAATTGGACAGGGATGCTGGGAGGTGGGCAGTGCTTCCCTGCAGCAGCCAGTAGCAGACGACTGCCTTTGCCACAGGCAGGATCCTGCTTGTAGATTTCACTTCCTGCAGCTATGTTCTATCAACCAGGACAGCAAATTATTTACGTTCTCATCAGGTGACCCCAGCATGAAGAGTGGAAATGGGATTCCAGCTCGTTGTGTGTATTTGGAAGAAATGGCTGCAGATCTGGATGACCAAGACTGGCTTGACATGGAAAACATCGAACAGGTATAACAACTGCATGCCTCATATCTCATGCAGAGCAATGACTGTCCAGATAGAGTCTGCATCAGTGCTACAAGAGATTTGCTGGTTGTAACTGGCCAAACTCTTAAAATCCTAGCTCACTTGGGGAATTTAGTATCTTCCATTTGAGATAGGTTGTCCTGTAGCAACGGTGACAGATGAGGAGAACTTTGCAAGTGCACAGCCTGTTTTTAAAAGATAATGGATTTTTCTGTTTGGTTTGTTTGTAGTTTTTCTCCTTTCTGAAGCTGTTTCACTTTCAAGCTGTTTTTACTTGTATCTAGGCGCTGTTTACCCGCCTGCTGCTGCAGGAGCCTGGGAACAACCTGATTTACATGACCTCTGCTGGCACACAGAATCTCTCTGCAGATCGAGATGCAGGGGAGAAACAAATTCTACGCTACCTCTATGCCTGTTTCCAGAGGGCAAGAGAAGAGGTGGGTAGGAGTTTCTGAGAAAGAAGGTAGTGCTGATATCTAAAAGCTGATGTTTTCATGGCAAGAGGTGGATATGCAGCCTCAGATGTGTTTTATTCTTTCTGTGCAGATAACCAAGGTTCCAGAGAACTTGCTGCCCTTTGCTGTGCGCTGCCGAAATCTGACTGTGTCAAATGCTCACACTGTTCTTCTCACCCCAGAGATTTATGTCAACCAAAATGTGTATGAGCAGCTGGTGGACCTGATGCTGGAAGCATTGAGAGGAGCACGTAAGTTTGGGTGAACTTAATGTATGTCTTAGCGAGGTTACTGTTAGTGGTTCTGTTCTGTTTGAGCTGTGTTTCTCTGCAAGTGTGTTCGGCCCTGTGAAAGTTTAAATTTTGCAGTCAGAATGACAATGAGATCTCCTGACTGCACTGAGGAGGTGGCTCTAAAAGGCACTCTGAGTTCTTGCATCTCACTGGTAAAAGCAGCAAGAACAGCACTGTGGCTCAGATAAAGCTTTGACTCCCTCTGTCATGAAAAGGAAGACGAAGAGGAGGGCTGTGTTCAGGTTGCAGTGGGCACATGCTCTACGATCTGGCTGCACTGAACATTGCCAGTAATTGTCTTGTGTGCCTTGCTAGATTTTGAAGACATGACTGAGTTTCTGGAGGAGGTCATTGAAGCCTTAACGATGGATGAGGAAGTGCGGACGTTTGGGGAAGTCATGGTGCCGGTGTTTGATGTTTTATTGAGCAGGATCAAGGACTTGGACCTCTGTCAGATCCTGCTGTACACTTACCTGGACGTGATCCTCTACTTCACAAAGCAGAAAGACGTAGCAAAGGTGCGTGCTCTTCAGTTATGGAGGACTGTTAACTTGTTTAATTGTTATGGGCAAACCCAGCTGGTTGGAGTGGTATCATCTTAGTGGTGTTCAGTGAATGCTTCTGTAGTGTCACTCAAAAAGGCAAGAGGTAGAAGTGGAAAAAGAGGTTGCACACGGCAGCAGGAAAGCAGACAGTGATCCTAGAAGCAGGTACCTCTGGTGTACCTGTAATTTTCTGTTCATGGCTGATCTTTGGTTTTTTTAATGATGTTTTTCTTTTTTTTCTGTGACACATCTTGTGCTCTTCTGATTTATAGCAATTCATCTTCACAGTGCAGCTTTGGTGACTGCATTTCAGTTAGGCTGCTGCACCTTCAACTGTTTTCCCTAGGTTTTTGCAGGGTACATTCAGCCCAAGGATCCTAGCAATGGACAGATGTACCAGAAGACTTTGTTAGGTGTCATTTTAAATATCTCCTGCTTGCTAAAGACTCCTGGTGTGGTAGAGAATCATGGGTATTTCTTGAATCCATCCCGATCCAGTCCACAAGAGATCAAGGTGCAGGAATCCAACATTCATCAGGTGAGACTGAATTGTAACGATGCTGCTTCCCAGTGGGTTTTATTGGTCTCTGCTTCTGGGTTCAAGTGAGAAGACTGGAATGTGGGGTTGTGTTTTTTGCTGGCTCTTAGCCTGGCTTGTGGCTAAGAAAGTTGCAGAACCACTTTAGCCTGTGGATTCTCCATCTGTAGGACATGGATGGGTATCACTGCTGAGCCAGGTCGTATCCCAAGTCTTCATACTGACCTCATGTTTCTGCTGCTTGAGAAGTCATTGCTTATGCAGTCGCTTCCTGAGCTTTGGGAAAATGATACGGTACCATAATGCACCAAAATGTAGGGCACCATAACTTAAGATGATGTGTGGAGATAATCTCCCTTTACTGTAATTACTGTGAGTTTTTTCAGTACCTTTCCTCAACTAAAACATTGGCTCACAAGCAGACAGAACGACGAGCAGCGCTTTTCCTCTGTGAAATTAAAGAGCCTCCTTCCTGAGACCAGCAGTGCTAGCAGGGTCTGAGGTTGTTTCAGAAGAGAGAAGCATCACAGAGTAGGACACAAGTGGGGAAGCACACTCAGGTGCAGGTGTTTTTCACAAGGAATGAGATTTCCAGCCATGCGTTCATTCAGGGTTGTTGTTTCTGCCAAAAACATGTGAAGGATTTTGCTTGTATTTCCCACAGAAACAACTTGCATTTCAGTGTGTTGTTAATTATTCTGGCCTTGGGTTCTGAGCTATTGGTAATGCGTGCCTGAGTGGTGATTAACACAGGTGTCACAGTGATAATTTACTTTGAAAATCCTTCCTTTTGAGGGTGGGCTGTGGTCTGGAAATGGGGCAGCTCTGGAAGCATTAGTGAGGTAGTCAAAAGAAGCCTTCAGATCACGACTCCTTCAACCACTCTCTGTTTCCTGTTACAGTTTATGGCCCAGTTCCATGAGAAGATCTACCAGATGCTCAAGAACCTGTTGCAGTTGTCTCCAGAAACGAAGCACAGGATT